ATGCTCAGTTGTAACGGCTTCCATTAAATTAATGATGTTACCCACACCATAAATTAGGCAAATTGTATGCAAATACTGTTTGAGTAGCAATACAGTGGTTATCAGCTGTCTGCAAAAATAAATTAGTTTGGCAGGGTAAAGATACTGTGAAGCAGCATATTTAATTGAGCACTAATTTTATTGTGATTATTACTTTTAAGTAACAACGGCAAGGTTATTAAGTGACATAATGTGATGGTTTACACAGAGCTGATAAAACACTTCACAAGATCCACAATGCTGGTTTGCTGATTAAAACTGATACCAAGTAATTTATGGTCCCAAGGACTGATTCTCAACCGCTATAAAAATAAAATAAATGAAAACATGACAGTGTTTCAGGGTTTTCAAGCTGGGCAACTACAGTATGTTTGACAAAGTGTCACTGATTAGCTTGATATAAAATCTATATGTTTTATTATTAGTATTTTCAGCAATTATTTACTTAAAATGCCAGCAAATTAAAATGATTCTGCCCTTCTCTCAGCAAAACACATCATAATATTACCTGTGTCGCCAAGATTTTTGCCAATCAGGCATGCAAAATGCAAATTTATTCATTTGCTTACTTTGCTTGCCTGGTTAGTAAATTACAGCCTACCTCAAATGGCCACAATCCGGTTGCTCATTATTATTATTTTAAATTTTAGAGCAAAAGCACAAATTGCAACTTGTTAGCTTGGCAGAGTGAAACACAGAACCAGTCCAGACATTGGCAAATCATATTTAAATATTTATGGGCAACAAAGCATCTCTGTTTTCCAAGTTAAATACAGAATCAAATCACAACTTCTGCACTACTTCTGCTCCCCCAGTATCAACACCCCAATTTTTCTTTTCTTTTTTAAAGATGCCAAGCTTGATTTATTTTTTTGTAGCAAATTCACAATAAAAACAACCAACACACACAACTCCCTTCTTCTTTGCAAATCACAACATATCTGAAATTCGAGAAAAACATGGTAATGGTCAAGATATTTCCAAAGCTTATAAGTTAAAACAATAAGAGATCTGACAGTGACTAGGAAGGGTGGGGGGACCCTATCACTTCAGTTCTGGATCAGTAGAGGGGGTAGGAGGAGGGACAATCACAGGCAGTTTTGGAAACGAGAGAGACAGAAATCTTGCAACTGACACCACTAAACTGCACGTTTGAGAATGCCACAATGAAGACAATGTATGAACAGTGTGGGGGAGTGTTGCTGGTTGGATAACCCCCCTTGTTTTTTGTTGCTTTTGGTTTGGTAGCCAACACACACACACCCTTGCAACTTATCCCACAGGTTCAAGAAAGCATAGGTCCTGATACTTATTTTGAAACATGGAAAATGAAAGATGCGTGAACAACACCCCCACGCCCACCCCCCAAACACCACACCACCCCCAGGGGATCGGATTGAGTTGGGAATAGGTTCAAAGAGGGGGTTCAAATAATGGGATGCTAGAGCGGGTTCAAAGGAAGCGAGGCTATGCCGACTTCTTCCATAGATGCTGCCTGTTTTGCAAATGGACCACTTCCAAGTTGGAGCATCCTCCGAAAAACAGGGCATGCGACGCGCATCACGCACCTCCGGACAAAAACCACCACGGGTGCATGGCTCTCGATATTATTATTAAAGACAAGACACTGAGAAGGAGGGGAGAGGAAGATGCAACAAAAGGTTTCTGAGCTGCACTATTAATGATGCTAATAATAACAATAACAATAACAACAACAACCCGAAGGCATCGCAATAGGGTGATGAAATTCAAGAGCGGGGTGGGAAATCAAACCTACCACTGCTGGTCCAAGTCCCAGTCCCTGAAAAAGTCGAATAGATCCATAGCGGTTGCGAAGGGAGGCAGCAGAGACTCCGAGCGCTGGCTGCCCCCCCTCCCCGGGTCCGCCTTCCCCCAGCCCGGCTAGGAGAAGTCACCGGGGCAGGGCAGGCTTAGCAGCGCATCTGGAGGGCGAGCTGGGCTTTCTCCCTTTCGCCGCGCTTGGGGGACAAGCCGGGGCTGGCGATGGTCTCTCCGGCCGGAGGGAGGAGGAGGAAGGCAGCTCTGCTGCTGCTCTCAGCTCCTTCCGCTCGCTTCTGCTGGCTTCAGCTGTGGCTGCTGCTGCCGCTGCTGCCGCCACAGCCAGCAGCAGCCTGACTGACTGACTCGCTGGCTGGCTGGCTGAGAGAGGCAGAAATAGCGGCGGCGGCAGCAATATCAACACCCACCACAAGGGGTGGAGCGAGCGGCAAGAACCACGACTCGGAGACGCGTTGTATTAGCATCCCTCCCCGCTCGCCAATTCGCAGCTGGAGCAGAGTTCACATGTGCCACGGACGAGAGACGGGGGTTCTGGTCGCTTCCAAACGGGTGTCATTGTGGGTTGCTCTGTGTGCATGCAATACTAGAATAAGAATATCAATGTTAAGTTGGAAGGGACCCTTAGAGTCATCTAGTCCAACCCCTTGCAATGTAGGGATTTGAAACCATACTGGACCCTACTTAACTTTGGAAATGTGCTAGCAGTTTTATTGTGGCACCACTAGCATGGGTATAGCCAGGATTGTTCACGGGGGGGGGGGGGGAAGGCTTTTGTTAGGGGGTGCAGAACCTCGGATTTGTATTGGTTTGGGGGGCAACTGCCCCCCTTGGCTATGCCCATGGCCTCTAGGAGTACAATTAAAAATATGTTTGAATATTGATGTTAATATTTTCAGCATTCAAACAACTTCATTGTTATCTAAAACTGCAGCATCAGCAATCCCACATCACAAGGGGTGGAGTAATGGTTTTGCTGTCAGCCTAGGACCTGGGAGACCAGGGTCCAAATCCCCACTCAGCCATGAAGCTCACTGAGTGACTTTGGACCAGTCACATGCAACCCAACAGACATGCACCCAGAACTCTGGTTGATTCCAGATTGTGGGAAGAGGTAGCTCCTGCAGCATGCAAGCTTGTTTGTTGGCTGCCATGTCCACAAAACATAGAATCATAGGGAATGCAGGATTCTCAACTAAAGCATCCATGACAGATGGCCATCCAACCTCTGCTTTAAAACCTCCAAGGAAGGAGAGTCCAGCAGCTCCTGGTGGAAGTCAGTTCCACTGTTGAACAGCTTTTACTATCAGAATTACCTTCTTTATAACTTGACTCCATTGGATTCATCCTTGCTGTCAAAATGTAAGTGGAAAGACACACATGGAGACACAGTACTGAGTGTGTGGTGGTGACGTAAGGTTCCCAAAAGCCATTAAATACCATGAGAGCTGGCCTTGAGAGAGCTGAGAAGCAGAGCTCACTCCATCGGCTCTGCTGCAACAGGCCAGTTCCATCCGGCCTCCTCTCCCCTCAACTGTCACTTGGGGGCAGCCTTTCTCTCTCAGTGGGAGAAACAGTAAGCAGGGATCATTTAATCAGCTTTTCTGGAGGCCCAGCTCCATCAGGAACCTCCTTGTTCTTGAACTGTGCCAGCTAGTCCATGTAGGAACAACTGTTAGAAACTGGTGTCTGAGTTTTAGTGTTTATTTTCCTCCTCCCTCCTGTCCAAGGGGCAGCTGGATCTTCTCTACCTGGTAAGGTAGCCCACCTGGGAGAAGGAATACTCTTATCCTAAACCTCTGCTGCCTTGTAGATATACTGATTCCTGAAAAAGACTTCAGGAGTACGCCCTGAGGAACCATCTGTACCTGCTGCCTTGCAGGACATCTTCAGCAAAAGAAAAGGCTGAGGAGTAAACCCTACACAAATCCAGAGTGGAGTCCCTAAGGCAGTTAGATGGCACCTTGTACAGCTCTTTCCAGCAACTCCTGCAGCCAAGCTGATGTCAAACATCTTGCTCTGCTTTCCTTTGGACCACATCAGTGAGGTCGAGGGGGGCAGTCTTCTTGCCTGGGCAGCCCAGGACCTTAATGCATGCTGCCCAGGCTTATGCCCTGGAGAGATTCCTTCAGTGCTGCTAACACAGCAAAAGCAATGCGGGATGCAACAGTTATGACTTATAAATTCAATTTGATTGGCATAAGGTATGAGCACTACTGGTTGCCTTCGGTGGTAGGAAAGATCATCATGTCTCACTAGTCAACTACTGTCCGTCTTACGGTTGGCAGCACCTAGTCAAAAAAATATTGAGCCACCATGGTTCCCACTCTTTTCATTTTTTAAGACTGCGAGCTTGAGGATAGGGACCATCGTTCTTTGATTGTATGTAAACTGCCCCGGGAGCCTTTTTGGCTGAAGTGTGGGTACAAATGCTCCAAATAAATATGAATAAGGAGTGCAGTAGCAGATGGCCTGACATTTCTGTACACAGTTGAAATATATATATATATATATATATATATATATATATATGGAGACTGGCCCATCAGGGCGAATGGGGCAAAGCCCTATCAGCCTCAGTCTGCTCTCAGACAGCCCAAACTTGCTTGCTTTCTTACTTACAACCAGCTTAGCATGCGCCCCTGTCTGTCATCTTCTTTGTGCTCCTCCTCAGCTTCACCCCTGTAGGACTTAGCAAGGAGGAGAATGGGGGACAAAACTAGAATTAGGTAGCTCTGCCTGTCATTGGCTTTGGCTCCACCTTCCTCTGGCCTCTCAGCCTTTCTTCCTAACAGCCCAAATAGGTTCCAGCCACCTCTATGAGAATGATAAACCGCACAGTGACTCTTTTGCAAGAGCAGCAATTGGCAGAAACACATAGCTTTGCTAATGTTATGGTGGGAAGGAGAGAGTCTGCTAAACCCAGTAAATTAATGAATGTCAAAATCTAGCTAATATTTGGGATAGGAAGGGAAAATGCAAGCTACAGAACTGTGGCAGGTAAGGAATCCACAGACCAGTATATGCCAACCCGCCTGGCCACCTGGCTGGTTGAATTCAAGCCATTATGACACAATGGCCAGGCATCTACACATCAGAGAAAGTTTTTAGGTCTGTGCAAAACAAGGGTTGCCAAGGTGACAGGGAGAGGTGTGAGATGAGAGACTATATCTCAGGGGTAGAATACTTGCACTGCATGCAGACAGTGCAGGTCAAATAACCTAGTATGTACTGGTTAGGCTAGAAAAAACTTCTGTCTGAAATCTGGAGATCCAACATTGTTGACAACAATGAGCTAAATGAATCAGCTGCCTCCATATATGGCAGTTTCCCCCAATATTTACCTCAGAGTAAGGCTACAGAATTAGAGAGGTGTTTTTTTTCCAATTAGCATGTCAAAATGTCCCAATCTGGTGCTGCTTGATGTTTTGTAACCCTCCCAGACTGTCCTCGCTGCAGCCAGATCCCCACAGTCTTTCACAATAAGTTAAAACCTGCCACAATGTGATTTTTACCTGTCATTTTTCACAGGGTGACAGTTTCTTCTGGATGTGCCCCCATGTGGCAAAACTTGAGATTTACCACATTCCAGAGAACATGAACAATTTTTCTGGATGATTTCAAGGCCTGATCATTCAGAACTTTGCATCTGTGGGTGCACTTTTGGAATGATTCCTAGGGGAAGCCCATAAACAGGTTGCAGTTACAACTTAGAGTTTCTCTGGCAGCAGTTCTTCATAGGAAGAAAAGAAGGAAAGAGGCATATAGCCCAGAGAAGACTAAGGAGAGGCATGATAGAACCCTTCTTAGATCAGGAGGCCTGTCACAGAGAAGATGGAGCAGGCTTACTCTAGTAGGCCAGTGGAAATGGTTGGCAATCAGATTTTGGCTAAACTTTATGAGAAAGTTATGGCAGTGGAACAACAGCATGCCTCAAGAGAAGCAGAGGGCACGTGGTCATCTGTCAGGTACACGTGTAGCTGCCTCCTACATTGTAAACATAGGGGCCAACTCCTAGGGGCTGAGGTCCCTTTGCGCCTGCCCAAGGCAATGTCATTCAAATGGTGTGGGTACATCCTGTCATGTGATTGGTTTTGCAGGGTGGGGCATATTTTCCTTCCCCCCAATATTTTATTCAAGTTGGCACCCCTGATTGTAAGATCTTGAACTGAACAGAGGCTTGGGTTAAATGACCTCTCCTTCCAACCCCACAATAGGAAGGGGGAGGGCGAGAGGGAAGAAGGAAGGAAGGAAGGAAGGAAGGAAGGAAGGAAGGAAGGAAGGAAGGAAGGAGGCTGTGGTAATTCCACTCAAAAGTGATAGAGGCATCGCTGAACATCTGTGTAGCAGTATTGCTATTTGGGATACATCCTTGTAGTGTGGATTTAACCTCACACTGAGAGAAGCAAGTTTTGGCTGCAGAAAGATACCACCTACGCATATGTAAGAAAAGGCTGGCCTTCTGTTCTGGTCAGTATGCACAGCTACCTACCAAATGCACAAGATTGCACTTCTACTAGTCATACTTAGAATAGAATCCAGTCAGTGAGACTGTGCTCTGTGTGACTGACTGCACATCCACACCTTATATTTAACACATACACATAACTTTTCCCCAAAGAATTCTGGGAACTATAATTTACAGAGCCCATGGAGCCCTTTTCCTCACAATTTACCTCGCAGCGCTACAATTCCCAGAACCCTTAACAAATTACAGTTCCCAGGATTCTTTGGGGAAAGCTATAAACATATTGTGTGGATCCAACTTCAGTCTGGATCTAACTCTACGTTTCTACTGCCAGTATCAGTTTGATACCATTCTACAATGGGTAGTCTTCCACTACTTTCTACTGATCGCAGACTCATTGAAACTAATGGCAATGATCAACTTAGGTCTATCAGTTTTAATGGGTCTGCTTTGAGTAAAATGTAGCTGGATACCACATTTCCTTCAGCCCTGACATTAGAAAATCAAAAGAGCCTGATGGATTAGCCGTGTCTAAAAGGTAAAGGGACCCCTGACCATTAGGTCTAGTTGTGGCCGACTCTGGGGTTGCAGCACTCATCTCGCTTTATTAGCCGAGGGAGCTGGTGTACAGCTTCTGGGTCATGTGGCCAGCATGACTAAGCTGCTTCTGGCGAACCAGAGCAGCGCACGGAAACGCTGTTTACCTTCCCGCCGGAGCGGTACCTACTTATCTACTTGCACTTTGACATGCTTTCGAACTGCTAGGTTGGCAGGAGCTGGGACCGAGCAACGGGAGCTCACCCCATCGTGGGGATTCAAACCAGTGACCTTCTGATTGGCAAGTCCTAGGCTCTGTGGTTTAACCCACAGTGCCACCCGCGTCCCTAGCCATTTCTATCTAGTGTCTAATCCTGTTCTGTGGAGGCATCAGTAGCCTTCTCTTCCACAAATTTCAAAGCCATCCAAATTGCTGGCCATCACTGCCTCCTGTGGCAGCAAGTACCATAGTGCTGCATCTACCATTAGCCATGATGCCTGGGGCTGATGGGTATTGAGGTCCACAGATCACCCACTCATACTTTCACCAAAGGAATCCCCCCCTTTCATTCTCCAGCAAACACCCATACCTCCTGCTATAGCCTATACAGTACTTCTGGGTAAGCCAACGACTGATTCCCCTCACCTCCATTTCATGTCCAACTTAATTCCCCTCGCCCCTCGCCACTGCGTAAACATCAGTAAAACAAGAACGCAAATCTCCTTATGTAATGCATAGCACACGATTTAATCTATGGTTTAGCAATGTAAATGTTAAGATAAGCCTGATGTTAAACACAAACTGACTCAATCCTACTGACTGAGAAAGAGCACAGTGTCAGGCCGATGTAAAATTAAACTGTGGTTTAGGAAAGAATGCACACAAGCAGGGCACTGATACCACAAAGGTGCCATCACGTCAGCCCTTCATGGGTAGAACTTCCACTTGGAAACCGACAGGCATTTCAAATTGTAGATGGTATGTTCAAGACAGACTCACATAGACACCCTCCTTGAGTTGTCTCTCTGCCATTTTATCTGTCTCCCCCCCTCCCCCCGCCAAGTCTCATAATTTCCTCTAACAGCATTTCTATTTCCTCACAAAGTGAAACACTCTCACTATTATCAGTTCATTCTCCTGGATTCCCTTGGCTGTTTTATAAAAACACGGAGGGCAGGGGGAGAAACCCCCACTGTAAGAAGAAGGACTGCATTGTGGAGGTGTTGTTCCCACCATGAGACTCCAGCGACACACAGGCCCATCCAAAGAAGACAGTCAAAGAGGACTGGACAAATTTGTGTAGGATAAGGCTGTCAGTGGCTATTAACCACAATGGCTATGCTTTGCCTGCTTGGCCAGAAGCCGCAATGCATCTCAATGTGAGTTTCTGGAAACCTCAGGAGGGGAGAGCGCTCTTGTTTGTAGGTTTCCCGCAGGCATCTGGTTGGCCACTCTGAGTACAGGATGCTAGACTATGAGCCACTGGCCTGATCCAGTAGGTTCTTCTGATTCTATTCTGCGGTCTGCGGTGGTCATGTAGCCCCAATTCATTATTTAAATGAATCCCACTCTTCTGCACAGACGTTTTATATATTTTATTGTTGTCTGCTTTTGGCAAAAGCTGTAAATGGGCCAGGGGTTCCCAAACAAGTTTCATTCAGGTAGCCTGTGGGGGTGTCCATGGCTTTGTGACTGAAGATGGGAGACACACATCTATTACATTTAATATCCATATTGTTTTTTAATTGCATTGATTGCTTCTTCTCTTATGTTGCATTGCATTGTATCGTAATTTGAAGTCTATAGAATTCAGAATATGTAATAAATGCAGCAATAAAAAATATAATTAAAAATCATACAGCATCTAGCACAGCACATTCTAATTGCTACAGCCGGTAGAAAAAGTGGTTCTCCAAATGTTATGCTGATTTCACTCCAATACTTGACGCTGGTAACAGCGGTGGAGCATATGCCCGCACTGCCCAGGGTGGGCACTCTCTCGAGGGGTGCGGAGGGTGCCCTCCCAGGCATGGGATAGCCAAGGTTGGAGGGCCATCTGTCATGGATGCTTTAGCTGAGATTTCTTCATTGCGGAGCATTGAACTAGATGACTCCCAGGGGTCATTTACAATTCTACAACTCTATGATTCTGGGGAGCCTGTGGCCCTCCAATAGTTATTGAGCTCCAGGTCCCTCACCATTGACCATGCTGGTTGGGTGCAATGGGATTTGGAGTCCAGCAACATCTTCCCTGGCATACAGTGTTAGCACCTGCTGGAATGCTCAACAAATATAGCATTATTTCTTGCTGTTGAAAATATGCTGTACAGCCAGGGCTTTTTTCAGCCAGAACTTGCCGAAACTCAGGTCCAGCACCTCTCAGGCGGGTGCCATTGCCATTCTAAGAGAATGTGGGAAGTGTTCATGGTGAGTTCCAGCACCTCTCTCTAGAAAAATAGCACTGTCTACAACTCAGAGTTTCATACAACTGTGACTTTCCCATCACTAGAGATGATTCATGAGCTTTCCACCCTTGCTCCAGGACCTGCTCTTAGGGGCTAAGGTCTCAGTTACAGAAGATAATATGCCTTCACCAAAGTAGTCACCAATGATGATAGGGCAAAGAAATGATGGTCAAGTACAGAAAAGGAATCAAACATGATTCAAAGACAAGGTCACACAACAGCACAAGCTCAATTTATCATAGGGCATTCAAGCAAGGTGCAACACAGCACGGTGAGGAAACCAAACCAGGAGCCACAGACCTGTGTTTTCCCCAGCAACCAGAAGATGGGGTTTGCGGTCCCCTAAACCACACCCAAACCCAGCTGCTGGCTCAAGTAGAGGAGTCTCGGGGTTTGCTTACTCACAATTGGATCAACACCTCTAGGTCCATAAACACATACTGTGCTGCTGCTCTTCAGCCTGGACCCTATGCTTTTGGTGCCTGCACTTTTGAAGACTGTGGGCAGGGCACTCCACCTCTTCCAGGAGTTCTTACCAGGCATCCACCTGGAGGGCTCCTCAAGGAGATCCTCAGCATTGCTCCACAAGGACCTCAAACGGTGAGGTATCTGATTCATGCTCTGAGGACTTCATATCAGATACCTGCTCAGGGCTAGGTGTGCCAATACCACAACTTTCATCACCGTAAGTTATTATGCTCACTTGCCTTAACCCCAAGGAGGCAATATGTGATGTGGATGATAGTCCACAAGAAACAACATGGAAATTTGTGTTTAGCTTGCCACGGTGATTTTGCATTGGTTTCTGTCCTTCAGTATTGAAGATGTTCAGATTGCAAGGGTGTGTGTGTGTGTGTGTGTGTGTGTGTAGGGAACGGACCCAATGTAAGCGGAGGTTGTAGCACCAGTAGAAGGAAGGCAAATATGATTACACAGATGGAGTTGTACTGCGTGATAAATGACTTTCTGCATAACCTGACTCTGAGGTCACCATTCAGAGGGTCTGTGTAAGCCTTTGAAATGCTGCTGTGAAATGTGTACACACCTGAAACCTTTGAGGCAACTCTTTCTCTTTAAAGCGATGGACTTTCTGGCACGTTTTATTTCATAGAAGGAGAAGTAGGATCTTGAACAAATAGCTGGAATGAGGATTATCTATCCGCCTTCCTGGCAACTGGTTTCAGTGACCCAAGTCTTGCTTTTCTGGGAAGGCTGCCAGAGTCCTTTGAAAGGATGAGAGTACTGATGGGCACATCTAGAGAAATTGTTGCACATATTAACCAGAAGCCTGCTAAAAGAATCAAGTGAAGAAGACATATGTGGGATTTCCCACTCGTCAAAAGCGGGTTTGGAGTTGGGGGCAAAGTGGAGGGACAGCAGGAGCAAATATTGGGGGGGGGGGGGCAGAAGAGGTGGTACAGCAAGTAGACACAAAAGACAACCTCTCCTGCCAAGTTGTTGCTAGATTTGAAGAGATTTATATTAGGCCTTGTTTGCATTTATTGGCTCAGGAGGCTGCATTTTAATCTAGGGCATCCAAAGTTCCCAAGACCAGGGTTCAAACGCTCTACATCAGTAGTTCCCAAACTTTCTGAGGCTATCCCCCCTAGTTTCCGTCAACTCATCCCCAGTGCCCCCTACCCCATAAAATGCATCATTCACAGTAGCAGTTTGCAAATAATTCATAGAATCATAGCACTGGAAGGGACCTTGAGGATTATCTAGTACAACCCCCTGCAATGCAGGGGGAGTATGCAATTGTCCCATAAGGGGATTGAACCTGTAATCTTGTAAGGGGATTGAACCTGTAACCTTGGCATTATCTACACCATGCTCTAACCAGCTGAGCTATTTGAGCACTAAGGAATATAATAACACAATAAAACACAAAACAGGAGCAATTATTTGCACATTTATTCAAAATCCAATCAAACCTATTTAGTTTAATCAATTAAACAGCACTGATTAACTTGGTCCAGTGATGCCAACCTTTCAAAGTCTGATCGTTGTTTACACTTCCAGAGCCCCCTGTTGCTCCCTTGGCTCTTAGTACCTGCTAGGCACCCCAGGGGTGGGTATGGATAAACATGAATGCACCAACATCTGGGGTGGAACACATTGTCTACCTCTGCAATAGGGGTTTCCACAGACCCCACTGCTTCTCAGCCACCCCTTTCCTGCTCCAACCTCCTACCTGAGCTAGTTATTGCAGCGGTGTGGTTGCAACCAAAAACCATTTCCATGGGACTGGTGGTGAGGCCAGAAAGGCAAAGCCATAGTAAAATCAATTTGCAACGGGGGTCCTGAAGGATCACTAGTCTCCACCTGTACTTCCCCATTCCCTGAGAGTCTCATTAAAAGTCCTTGTCCAAATTCTCACATGGGCTGAGGTATGGCAGGCTGCTGGAGAGAGAGAGCGTTTCAGTGGTGGCATTTCAGCTGTGGAATGCTGTCCGCAGATAAGTTTGCCTGGGCTCCACTTTGATGTCTTTCCAATTCCAGAAGGCATTTAAAAACAAATTCCCCAGGTTTTGGTGGTGGTGTTTTTTAAAAAACTTGTGTGAATCTTTGCCCCTCCCTAGTTTAAAACATTTGTGCATATAGCACCCTGATTAAATAAGACTCTATGTTTTCAATAGCAGTGTGAGCTTAATATTGTTCTTTTGTCACAGATATAACTGTTGCAAATTGATTTCAGTACT